GCTGGGAAGATGCATCGCGCGGATGCGAAAGCCATACGGTGGCTAGGGTTCACTTGCGGTGGCTACAACGGAGATTGGGACTGATTTTGGTTTCTTCGTGGTTTTGGGGAGACGACTTAGCAAAGGCGACTATGATGGCAGTTCATGGTGGCTTGGCGGGGAGGGATAGGGGTTGCGGTAGTTGACAACTAGGGTTTGGGGTGAAGTTGCGGTGGCTGATGGTGGTGGAAAAATGGTTAGGTAAGGGAAGACAAGTATTGATTGGGAAATATGTTTCTCCAGTAAGGGTGAGGGTGGTGCGCGGTGGTTTTGGTGGTGGTCATCGGTGAGGCAGTGGAGCTCGTTGTGGTAATGGTAAGTGAGGTTTTTTCGTTGATTTTTGTTATAATTTTATTAATCGTCATAAAATATGTGCAATATATTTAAATTGGGAACATGATACAAATACTACTACAAATTGGGAACCTATTTAATGTTGGTTGCCTTTGTTGATTGTTGTCTTGACTGAGATATTGTTGTGATTGTATTGACTGAGATATTGTTGTGGTTGTATTGACTGAGGGTTTTCTGATGGTGGGTAATGGTGGGTGCGTGATGATGATATGTTTTTTCCTTTTTTTCCGTTCCCCCTTTGTGTTCTTCCAAGATTAATTTATATAGAGCTTGATTTGTAGGATTGTGTTCCTCCTTTTTTTTTTTGTAACCTGTAGGGAGCTGGCTGGAGTAGGGAGGTTGTAGGTAGGGTGGCCTAGGGTGGCTATTTTTTTCTTTATTTTTTTTATTATTTTTATATATTATCTTTTTGGTGTTTACAGTTACCCCTCTTTAATTAAGTTTTATTGGATAATTTGAATGTGAATTTATATTATCATATAAAACATAATTAAAGATGTGAACACCAAAATATTGCAAATAAACATAATTAAAGATGTGAACACCAAAATACTGTAAATAAAATTGTGATTTGAAAAATTGAAAATTTGAGAATGGACTCGGGGATCCAATATTGCGATTGAAATATGCAAATAAAATTGTGATTTAAAAAGTTGAAAACTTGAGAATGGACTCGAGGATCCAATATTGCGATTGAAATAGGCAAATAAAATTATGATTTGAGTAGGCTCAAGGATATATGCAAATATTGTGATTTGAAAAGTTTAAAACTTAGAAGTGGACTCGGGATCCAATATTGTGATTGAAATATACAAATATAAAATTGTGATTTGACAAAGTTGAAAACTTAGAAGTGGACTCAGGGATCCAATATTGTGACCAAAATATGGAAATATAAAATTTGATTTAGAAAAGTTGAAAACTTAGAAGTGGACTCGGGAATCCAATATTATGACTAAAATATGGTGATTGAAAATTTAGAAGTGGGTTCGGAGACCTAGGGCTCGGGGACCAAATATAAAGCTATAATTTGATGTGTTGAAAGCTTGGAAAGTAATGTATATAATTTAAACCTTATAGGAGGCATGAGAAACCTTGTAAGGGGCATGAGAAGCTAACATGAGTATTTTCGCACTCTTCAGCTATTGGCACAAGTTTGATTACTTTGGGCACAGAAACCTAGTATTAAAATTTAATTTGGGTACAGAGACCCAGTATTAAAAATATCTAAATAGATGTATATTGGATGGAACAAAGGTTAAATAGTTATATATTATTAACTTAAACAAGTAATGCATGATACTTAATTCATAAATAAAGTGCATGACATGTGATTCACAAATAAATTATGATATGTATGGTGTATGATATGCAAATTCATGATGGGTGCATGATGCATGTACTTTTGACTAATGATTTTTGTTTTATTATTATTATTATTATCATTATTATTTTATATTATTTATATTTATTATTATTTTTTCTTTGCACATTTTCCTACGCCTTGACCCCTTAAGATTTCGGGTGTATCAAGATTCATGGAGGGAAGCAGTGTTTGAAATGTATTTTCATTCTAAGACATGTTGAATTCGTCTTTTTCAATTGGATCAGGGTTATGCTTTGTTATTTAAGATTCTGAATTGTCAACAACTGGTTATTCTTACCCACATCACTTCATCATTTTTTTTAATCATCACATTTTCATTATAATGCATTATTAACATTATGACATGTTCCTTTATTGGTATATTCATGACGAAATGACACAAAGAGGTGATGATTAAGACAATTTATTTTTATTGCTAGGAATGGAAAGGGTGCATACAGGAACAAGGAATACAAACATAAGTGACAATTTGATGGTTTTTGGATAACAATGTTAATCCTCATGTTTACAATTTTGAAGAGTTCACCCATTAATCTTTGTAAACATACGACAATTTGTGATTTCATCTCTTGAGTAGCTTTATGTATATCAATCTTTTAACTTACCCCCTCATTTTGAACTTTCGCCATTGTAGATTGCTCTAACTTTTATATAGAACAGTCAAGTAATTCCATATGCCCTTATCTTGCCTAAGCTGCTTTCGAGTTTTCAACTTATCGGGTTGCTCAATTTTGGCTAGACCGCTTTTCAGATTTTCAGCCTAACGAACTATTTTCCTTTCTCTCTCCTTTTTTATGCATAGTATTTCTTAATTGCATCAGAATTAATTAGGAGTGATAAATCTTTACCATCCATGTTTGAAAGGACAAGGGCACCCCCGAAAAAGCTTTCTTTACCACATATGGTCCTTCATAATTCGGCATCCACTTTCCTCTTTGATCCTTTTGAGTTGGTAGGATCTTCTTGAGGACCAAATCTCCTTCATGAAATTGTCGAGGACGAACCTTTTTATCATAGGATCTTTTCAACCTTTTTTGATATAAGTGTCCATGACATAGGGCGATTAACCTTTTTTCTTCAATAAGATTCAATTGGTTGATACGAGTCTGGATCCATTCAGCCTCTTCAAGTTTTGTTTCAGCCAACACCCTTAGAGAGGGAATTTCTACTTCAATTGGAAGTACTACATTCATCCCATATACCAAAGAATAAGGAGTTGCCCCTTGTAGAAGTTCGAACGGAGGTGCGATATCCGTTTAGTGTGAAGGGCAACATTTCATGTCAATCCTTGTATGTAACTACCATCTTTTGGACAATCTTCTTTATGTTTTTATTTGCTACTTCTACCGCCCCATTCATCTTTGGACGATAGGGTGATGAATTATGATGTTGAATCTTAAAATTATCACATAACTCTTTCATCATCTTGTTATTCAAATTAGTCCCATTGTCTGTAATGATCTTGTTTGGCAAACCGTAGCGACAAATTAAGTCCTTCTTGATGAACTTAATCACTACATTCCTCGTCATACTAGCATATGATGTTGCTTTGACCCATTTAGTGAAGTAATCAATTGCCACTAAGATGAAGTGATTTCCATTTGATGCTTTAGGTTCGATTGGCCGCCCAATTTCATCCATACCCCATATTGCAAATGGTCACGATGCAGCCAAAATATTTAAAGATGACATTGGTGCATGGATATTATCAGCATATGTTAGACATTTGTGACATTTTCTTACATAGTTACAACAATCACTTTCATGGTTGACCAATAATAGCCAGCTCTTAGGATTTTCTTTATCATTGCATGTCCATTTGCATGTGTTCCAAATGAACCCTCATGAACTTCTTCCATTATTTTCTTAGCTTCGATTATGTCAACACATCTAAGTAACATCATGTCATGATTTCTTTTATATAGCACATCACCATTCAAAAAGAATCTCATTTCCAACTTCCTCAATGTTTTCTTGTCATTTTCTGAAGTATTGGGAGGATATTTTCTATCTTTCAAGTAACATTTGATGTCATAGAACCATAGTTTTCCATCTGACTCTTCCTGTATGGTTTCACAATATGCTGGTTGTTCTTGATGATGCATTTTTATAAAGGGCATATCCTCTTCTTGGCTTATTTTGAACATTGAAGATAAAGTAGTTAAAGCATCCTCTAACTGATTTTCCTCACGAGGGATATGATGAAAGGTTACTTCATTAAAATGTTCCAACAATCCCTTAATATAGGAGTGATATGGGATTAACTTTGAATCTCATTCTCCTTTAAGCTGGTGGATGACTAAGGCTGAATCTCCACAGACTTCCAGTACCTTGGCCTTGAATTCATGAGCTGCTAGTACCCCCATCGCACATGCTTCGTATTTTGCCATATTATTTGTGCAATCAAAATCTAGTATTGCAGTAAACGGGATAATTTGACTTTCAGGAGAAATCAATATTGCACCAATTCCATTCCCTAATGCGTTAGATGCTCCATCAAACAACAAAGTCCATTTTTCTTCATTTATTGTTCCTCTTTCTTCAAACAGTGACAATATGTTCTCGTCTGGGAATTCATGTTGCATCAATTAGTAATGTTTTATGGGATTATGGGCCAAGAACTCTACTATAATGCTACCTTTAATAGCCTTTTGTGTTACATAAGCAATATCATACTCTGACAGTAACACTTGCCATCGAGCAATTCGACCTATGAGGGCGGGTTTTTCAAAGACATACTTGATTGGATATATTTTGGAAACTAGCCAGGTAGTGGGACACAACATGTATTGTCTCAGTCTACGAGTAGCCCATGCTAAAGCACAACATGTTCGCTCTAATAAAGAATACATCATTTCATAATCAGTGAATTTCTTACTTGAATAGTAGATGACGTGTTCCTTTTTACTGAACTCATGTTGTCCTAACATACACCCCATAGATTCATCAAGTACTGTTAAGTACAGAATAAGAGATCTCTCTTGCACCGGGGGCACCAAGATAGGAGGTTTTTGCAGGTAATGCTTGATTTCCTCAAAAGCATTTTGACAATC